CAATTATATATAAAAGGTATGATGAAATAATAAATTATACCGTTAAATATTATCATGACGATTTTTATAATTGTAACAGTATTTTGAAAATATTCCTTTACGTTAAAAATAGATTAATGCGTTCATTAAAAAGGAATGTTAATCTTATATGGTAATAATAGATATTATGACTGAAATAATCAGTTGACAGGAAAATTTTGTTATAAGAGATTCATGATTATGTTTTGCCAGAAACTAAGTCAGTAAACATTATGCTGTTTCGAGCTTACTTTTTCACAAAGTCCAAAGTCTCCACTGCTAGGCAATTACATTGAGATCTATTTGAAAATCCCTTCAAACCAATATTTCATTATAAATTAAAATCGAGTCATAATTTCTCAAGAGATTCTTTGAAACCCAGCATTTTTCTCTATATAGGAATAAAAAATACTTTTTTAGGTGTAGAATAAAGTAAGATTTCATTTTCTGCTTGGAAAATTAATCTTTTATACTGTTTATTCTATGAAAAAGGTTCAGATATCTTTCTATATTTTACAAGCTTTTCAATGGCTACGTACCTAGACTAAGTACGATGTTTTGTTAGGAATTAATACATATTGCCACTTATTGAGCTCAAATACTTTCAAGTATTCTGGATATGAGGAAGAATTTGAACCCCCATTTTCGACTAAATATTTTCTAATTTTAGGCATCATATCAATACTTGCCATTTTTATGCAACAAAATGTTTTGATGATGAAGAATGTCTTATATATTTTACATTAAATTTGAAAAGTGTATTTCTTTCAAAGAAAACGCATATTGTTACTGCCATTGATTTTAGAGTAGTGTTTATTATAACCAAACAGATATTTTAAATTTTTTATCAGTTGACTACTCTTCCATTATAAGTTGTCTCAAAAACCTACTCAAAACCTAATACAAACTTGTATTATAATATATGTTATCTAACTTAAAGCAACATTTTTTTCAAAATTGTTACATTCTAAAATATTGATTTATGATCAAATTTCTAAGTCAAATACTTTTAAGAGTTGTAAGGGATAGCTTAATCCATTAATCTATGGTATATTAATGAATCCACCTTAATGGCTTTAACAAATAGGTAATATATGTGTATTCAATAAGCCACAGGCGGAATAAGAATAGCGGAAGCTGCATAACCTTTAAGAAATTCGGTTCAATTAGAGGCAGAACTGAAACGGGAAAGCCAGTGACCAAAGGTGCACTGATAGAAATGTTTAAACTAATGTTTTAGATAATATTTCCGCTTTCTCCAATGTTATTTGTTTGAAAATCTTTTATAGGCTTAGATTCTCATGCTGGGTTGATATGAAGACCAAGAAGCTGTGGCTTCCGGTTTGGTAGCAGTCTCTTTCAGCTTTAGGGAATTAGTCTGACCTTTTCGCTAATTGGTCATGTTGTTAAGGCAACCTAATTGAAAACCCTTTGTCGGAACTTCTTTTGTATAGTAGTTATGATAATTATTAGAGTTGGACCATGAACTTGGCACATTTCCAGGCATTTCGCCAAAATCGTAATCGGCATGGCCAGTGAGCCTTGCCATTCTAAGCACCACACGACGACTCGGCAAGTGACGAGTGAAATCGATGCCATGACAAAAGTTCCGCTGGCTAGTTGTGGTATCATTTCTTCTGTCCGTGTGCATTCATCCATCCTATATCCTCGTATCAACGCATTCACTATCATAATCCAAACCCTATCTCTATAAATCTGAATGGTTTTATATGTAGAGGCTTACAGACTAAAATGGCAAACTTAGATCTACTTTTAGGCAAAGTTGGATGAGAAAGGAACCAATGGAGTGCGTTAATAGGTCTACAAATTCGCTCAAAAGGGGACACTTTAAGTAGACTTGAAGTAGCAAGTAAGAACTGTTATAGAGAAAGCGGTGATACGAGGATGTAGGATAAATGGATGTACCAGGGCAGAGGGAAAAATACCTCAACTGTCCAGTGGACTTTTGTTCAAGGTATCGATTTCATGGGTCTCTTGACAGCGTCATGAATGACAAGGCTCATTGAAAATGCAGACAGAGATCTCAGCGAAATGTCTGGGATTGTACCAAGTCCACGGTTCAATGCTAGGAATTATCGTATGGACCCTATTAGAGCAAAGAAGTTTGGACGAGGTGCTTTCAACTAAGCCGCCCTGACAACACAACCAAATTTTTAAAAGGGGCAATTTCTAAGAATTTTCATAAATGCGTGAGTGAAAGAACATAAAAATAAGATTATTTAACGATTTTCAATTTTATTATGCAAACACTATTTTAAAATAGCTAAACTTTGTTTGTATTTAATTACTTTGGACCCAAACTCATATATTTTTAATTTGTGGAATGGTATTATCCTTAACCCATATTTGTTTTCAATCCATGTGTCATAATAAGTTAATACATCATAAAAAGTCGCTTATGAATTACCTAAAACTTCTCCGTATGTTCGGCCTAAATTTGCATTTTTCAGATTATATAACACATACAATTTTAACGAATAGTCTTTGAGCGCAGAAACAAATAGTGTAACTTAATGATTGAGAGCTCAATATTTATTCCTCACAAGCATAAATAACGAAAATCTGGAATTTCCTCCTGCCAAAATTACGTGCATAATTACAAAATATAAAACGTGCGATCTTAGTTTAATGTACAGATTAAATTATTTAAGACAAATGTTGCAGCGAAATCTTTAGGGACTGGCAAAATTTGCGGAACTTTTTATGACCAATAAAATAGCAATGGCCAGGTTAATGCTGATAGAGCGTATCGAGTATAGGATTAGATTATCGGGATATTTCTATAATGGAAAAGAACTTTCTAATAAAAGAAATAAAAGCTCACGAAAAAGAGCTTATGTAGGTAAATGGATTTGTCTCAGAATCACTAACGTAGTCCATATCTGCATTTTACCTTAGATTTATTTACTTATTTAAATTCAATATTTAAACTATTTACCTTACTGTTGTGGCTCTGATGATTCTTTGTATTTCTGCCCCGGCTCAAAGATCGGGAGAGCCAGCCTGGCCATCCTGTTCCAGAGAATAGAGTGGGACTACTTGCGCGTGGAGTCTGGGCAACCGATTTCCTATCGCCTTCGGCTTTTAGGGACGGAGCCAGGGTCTCGCAGCCAAGTAGAATCTTTTCTTTGTTCCAACTATTCTTCCTACTTGTGGATGATGCTGATCCTCCACTAGACATAGCCAATTCCTTTGTTGTCTGGTGGCTAGACCACGCCGAATCTCCATATGATCCTTGGCTTCCTGATGAAGTGCGCGATAATTCGGGAGATGTTGGTTGCGTGTAGCTGTATACATGAAGCAAATTACGGCTGGGAATCATAGCATCAGACCTGGTGATACCGGGAGGATGGGATGAAGGGATAACAGATGATGAATTGGATGTGGGGGATGTGGAAGAAGTAAACAATGTCGTGACAAGCTTGACAGCTTGGGATGATGTTGGCTGCTCATGAGCATATTGGCCAGCCAGATAGCTGGATGTTGAGTCGATTTGTTTTACAATGGAGTTGTCATTGGATATTCTTGATGAGTAATCAGAGTTAGACTCATTTGCTTGATTTTTTAAGCTTTCCGACAGAGATTTGGATAAATTAGTCTGTTTTGAATACCGACAATGCTTGGTGCAAGACGTATGAGCGAAACAGTTAGATGAAGGGCTTCGGTCAGTGCAGAGATTTGCCTGTTCATAATGTTGATCTTGACCGGTGATTACAGGAATTGAAGTAACAGTTGGAAAAGCGTCAACGACACCTGATAACTTTGCTTCCTGTGAGCTGAAATAGCGTGAATATTATTAGTGGTAGTTTCCTTATAGAATAAACCGTATTAATAAATAATTATAGTGAGTATAAAGAAGGTTTCTACAGTTGTTTAGAGAACGCACAGACACTTAAAAATTTTACTATGCTCCGTACATGATGACTTATAACTTATTTCCTTTTAACTAATTAAAGCTAGACTGGATTGTAGCGGTTAATTCTGAATTACATCCAACATGTTTAGAGTTGCGTTGCCCTAATCATATTTACGCTTGCTCAAAATATCATTCTTTTATATTTTTAATCATACCAAATGCTATGCTTAAAAGGTTATACTATTTTATTAATAAATTATTGTTTCATATGTATTTATCACTTAAAAGTGACTTATTTTAACATTACTCCCATGAATAAAGCTAAAAAAGTAAAATTTATCCTGCATCTGAATGGTACTGCTCATTGCTGCTAATATTCATACCTTTCTATTTTGTAATTAGTCATCACCTTAAACGAAATATGGTGAATACATCTCATATTATCTGAGTTTTTTTTTCAATTTATCTTACCAGAACCCAAAATCGGTAAGTCGCAGGTTTTTTATGACGATAATCCTGAGTATATCCATTTTCATTTTGTAAGTATTGTGAAACTCGAAGTTAAGGATTATTTCCTCATGCGGTTCCTTTCGAAACAGCCGTCTCCTGATAGTTTTCTCGCCACATCCAAGTAAGCTAAGTGTCCGTTCTCATCTATATCGATTGTAAATTGGAATTTTTTTATCAATTATGTTTAACAGGATTAGTAAGTCGTCCAAGTTTCCTTTTCCATGCGATCAGACTGCGAAGTAGTCATACAAAAATCTCATAATTACTTTTTGTTGCTGAGGTAACGGTTTGAAATTCTCTTCTAACCTGTTCATGTAGATATTAGCCAACATAGAAGATACTTGTGAATCCATAGACAGACCAAGTATTTGTTAACTTAACTAATCAGATTAGCGAATCTTTTCATATTCGCTTCGTCTCCCTCATATTGTCTTCTATTTTTAAAGAGCTCGATTAGTGTCATGAGTACTTCTTCTCCTGAGACGTTGGTGTACTATGACTGTACATGAAGGCTTACTAATAGTTCGTTTCCCTCCCACCTAGTGCCTTTGAGTATGTTCTTCAGTATGTTAGATAATCATCATTCACCTTCTTAAACCTAAAGCATATAAAGTTCTCCAGTTTATCTGTTGCTACCTGTTTAT